TAGGTATAATTTTTTTTTATAGTTCTGTACAGTTATTGTATGTAAAAATGCTGTACCTGAGGAATTGTAGGATACATGTTTGAATTAGTTTAATCTGAAATCCATCATGAAGGGTTTTTTGGGTTTTTTTACCTTTTCTGAAGAAGATGTTACCCAAATTGCCATGAGATTTCTGGGAGTTTTCCAGCATGGCGTTGAATGTACTTTCTCCAGCGATGCTGCTGACCTGCTCATCGGTCAGTGGAAGGTTGAAGAACTCCGAGATTTTCTTCACACCTTCTGGCAGGTTCTGCATGAACAGCAGAAAAAGCTCAAATATTTCAACATGACGTCAGATTTACGTCTTAATACGCAGCTAATCATGGTCTTAGTGTTATTTATCATTGCACATTGTTCTAAAGTCTTCAACATTTTATCATAAATATTTGTTTCCCTCAGAAATGCATCACATTATGGAAGTAAAATGGGTTTAAAACAGTTTCACTAAGACAAACGGTCAATGAATATGAAACTGTGACGTTGCAAACAAAACACACACAGGTTGCTCTACCTGTTTCAGCTCCTCATATGTCACGATCATCACGTTTGGGTCATCTAGACGTTTCTCCCAGGCGAGAGTGTGATCAAAAAAAGAGCCCCAGGGCACTGAAGAGGAGACATAAATAACGGTATATCTTCAGTCCTCCACAATATTCACTTTTCACCTTTCATTGTTCAATGTTTTTCTCACCTTCACCAGCCATGAAGTCAGAGAAGAACTTGTCCCACGACTCAGCGTTGGGCAGAAGCGGATTTTTGTTCATGAAATGGTAATATGAGACAAGCGTGTCTTTCGGGTTTCTGAACACCACCAGAATCTGAAAAAAGACATTGTATTAGATGAGAGAAAACGGTGTGTTCTGTTCTAATATGAATTCATTTTTAGTCCCAATATATGGTATTTAATGATTTGTTGCATGTAACTTTTGAATCAACAGGCACAGAATCAGAATTCACCTGATGCGTTATGCATTTTGAAATAATTTGTTTTGAAATTCGTCATATAAAGTTCAGTCTTCACCCATACTGGCTAATAATATTCAGTCAAATCCTCACATAGTGAAAACTAAAATGAATTTGCTTGCATTCAACATCACCAACTGGTCAAATTATGGTCATATTCTCCACTTTTCCAATTAGAAGTTATATTCACTATAATTCAAAAGTTTGCATGTATTTGATCAAAAATACAGTAAAAACAGCAATATTGTGATTTTTTATTACAATTTAAAATAGCAGTTTTCTATGTGAATATATGTTAAAATGTAATTTATCAAAGCTGAATTTTCAGCATCATTACTCCAGTCTTCAGTGTCACATGATATTCAGAAATCATTCTAATATGCTGATTTGTTGCTCAAGAAACATTTCTGATTATTATCAATGTTGAAAACAGTTGTGCTGCATAATATTTTTGTGGAAACCGTGAAATATTTCATTTTTCAGGATTCTTTGATGAATGGAAAGTTCAAAAGAACAGCATTTATTTGAATTGGAAATATTTTGTAACATTATAAATGTCTCTACTGTCACTTTTGAACAATTTAATGCATCTTTGATGAATAAAAGTATGCATTTCTTACAAAAAAAAAATCATACTGACTCCAAACCGAACTTAAGTTCTCTAACAGTGAATGTGAATGTCATTGGTGTGTTTGGCACGTGCAGCTCTTGTATAGTTGGTATCTAGTGTCATGTGACCTCTCCAATGTGCTTCAAAGTGCGCTCGTTGTTACTGACCTTTGGTTTCTTAGTAAAGAAAGAGGGAGGCATGTTGTCAGGGGGCAGATGAGTTCCCAGAAGCCTCCGTGGGGGCATTTCGGCCAGTTTCTGTAAGGCAAATAGTGTGAAACTGTAACTGTGAAGTATTTGTGCGTTCAGGGTAAACGTTCCCAGATTAATTCGCAGATTGTTTGTGCTGTTACTGACCTCTTGAACATCTGGAGGTAAAAACTCAACCAGAGGAGGCCTTTCAGGGGGTTTCTCATCTTTCCCAGTGGAAGCATTCAAGATTTTACGCAACACTGCCACCATCCAGTTAAACCCTGTTAGAGATCAATTACAATCAGATTTAAGATAAAGTTGGGAGAAAGAGAGAGTTAACCTCAACGAGAGACAATCAAAACTTTTGTTCCTGTTGTTAAACTTTCTGAAACTATTTTAACATCTTTGCATCACAGATGAGATTTAATTCATGAAATACAAGCAGAAGAAATGTATGAAAGCATTCTAATGCACTGTAAATTGTCACATGGAATTCATTGCAACAGTTTCTTTGTAAATCATTTGTGAAATCATCATTGTTGATTAAGCATTTCTTAAATTGTTGCATAATTCAATGCCACAATTTAGGTGCCAATTGACTGTAAAACTGCATTGTGTAAATTGTCACATTCAGTCCAATGTGATCATTTTCAGTGCAAATAGTTTGTAAACACCAATTCTTATGTAAATTCAGTTTGGTGCACCAATTTACACCAGTGTTTGAGTTTCATGAAAGCACAGAATTGCTTCACTCTTCAGTGTCTAGTGTTACAGCTGGTGTTGACATCGAGCAGAACTCGCTCGTTATTACACAAGAATTGTTAATGTGTGTCATGCATTGAAGAGAATCAGGTTACGTGAGATTGTTTGTTTAAGGAATGAAAGATCTGGATTTGTGTTAAAGGCAAAATGTGAATCTTTGCACCAAAGTTTCATTCATGAAACACAAACGGAATGAAAGTAAGTACTCTTAAGTTCTCTGAATTCTCATGTTAAATTCATTGCAACACCTTTGTAAAATCATTGTTGTACTGCAATTTTAATGTAAATTGTTCATAAATATTGTTCTTAAATACGTCTCATTCAGTTCCACAGTTTTTGGTGCAAATTGTCTGTAAAACCGCATTAGTAAATTGTGATCATTTTCAGTGTAAATGGTTTGTAAAAAACTATTCTTGTGCAAATTCGCTTGGGTGCACCAATTTACACCAGTGTTTGAGTTTCACGAAAGCACAGAATTGCTTCACTCTTCAGTGTCCAGTATTACAGCTGGTGTTGAGCAGAACTCGCTCGTTACATAAGAATCACAAATGTGTCATGCATTGCAGAGAATCAGGTTACATGAATCTGGTTGTTTAAGAAATTAAAGACTCAGATTTGTGTTAAAGGTTAAATGTTAGTCTTTAAGTTTAGAGCTGTTAATTAAGTCTTTGCACCAAGGGTTTATTTATGAGACACAAGCAGAATGAAAGTATAAATCCATTCTTATGCACTGTAAATTCTCACATTAAATTCATTGCAACAATTTTCTTTGTAAATCATTTGTAAAAATAATTCTTGAGCTACAATGTTAATGTATATTGTTCATAAAATTGTTGCATCTAACTCAATTCCAAAAATGTTGGTGCAAATTATTTGTAAAACCATATTCGGTCAATCGTCACATTCAGTCAAATGTGATAATTTTCTGTGTAAATATTTTATAAAAACCAATTCTTATGTAAATTTGCTTGGGTGCACCAATTTACACCAGTGTTTGAGTTTCATGAATGCACAGAATTGCACCACTCTTCATTGTTCAGTATTACAGCTGCATGAGTCAGTTAATGCAGGAAGGTTTACAAGAGAAATGTCCTCGAGCAAACTGTGAGTTATGTAACCTGACTCCACCAGCAGCTTTGCACTAGTTTTAGGGCTAGTAGAGTAAACTTTCGCACATGCACGTCTTACAGTAACAAAAGCAAACGCAACTAAACCCGTCTTGTTTTACTCACCACATTTAGGGTAAGCCACCAGGATAAGGTCATCCTCTCTGGCCTCCAGCTCTTTTAACTTGTCCAGGGTCTCTGGAGGGCTGAGGATCGTGGAGTACAGGATTCCCTCTCGCTTATAAAGCTTGTCTTCGTCCTTCATTTTCGCCGCTTTCTCCATCCTATCCTCCATTTGACTCATGGCTGGTGTTTTACTCATGTTTGCGGTGGATTCTTGTCCTGGTGAGGTTCAGATTCGCAGACACACACACACACACACACACACACACACACACACAGAGTATTTATGCTGTAGTTCAGGAAGGAAAATGCTGTAGATCCGCCCACAGGCACGGCTCGCGTGAGAAATCTCCATTTCCGCCGTCCGAGAGGCCCCGAGACAGCATAAGGGCTTGGTGTCAGTCTAACTAATCATTGTGTGTGAGACACACTCAGCATGAAAAGCCAGTTTTGGCAGAGGTGAAAGGTAAAATGTAATGTGTAGTCAGTTCATGTAGCTCAGCTGCTGAACTCACTCAGTGTGAAGCAGTATAGAAATATTTTGCTTTTTATAAGACCTTATTCTTTAATTTTTTAATTTAAAATGTAGTGATTTTTTCGGAGTTACGAGAAAATACTTTTTCAAAATGTCATGTTTAATTCAATGTGTAACTTGCCATTTCTTTGTAAATCTTTATGAAAATTTCAAGCAGTATCTGAGTGAAAACTGGTTCTACACCAAAAAAATTTTCAGTGTAGTAATTAAAAGAATAGCTTACACAAAAATGAAAATTTGCTGGTAATGTATTCACCCTCAGGCCATCTAAAATGTAGATGAGTTTGTTTCTTAATCAGATTTGGAGAAATGTAGCATTGCATCACTTGCTCAGCAATGGATGCTCTGCAGTGAATGGGTGCCGTCAGAATGAGAGTCCAAACAGCTGATAAAAACATCACAATAATCCACACCACTCCAGTCCATCAGTTAACATCTGGAGAAGACAAAAGCTGAAACAAATCCAGCATTAAGATTGTTTTTAACTTCAAACCGTCACTTCCAGATAAAAATAAGAGTGAAAAAGTGGTCTGGTCTGAATCAGGATAGAAATCTGCACAGATCAAGCACTGCTTTACACCTAGCGCGTTCTAGTTTCGTATCTGCCATGATTAATAAAGCCAGTAACAGGCCAAAAGCACTATTCAACACAGTAAATAAACTTTTACCTAACCACCACCTCATGATGCTGTAGGTTCAGATGAATTCTGCTGCTCCTTTCTAACTTGTCTTCTGGACAAGACGGCTGCCGTCCACCGGGGCTTTTCGAATAACGCTATCAATTTTAGCTTTGAGCCTAATCTCTCTGGTCATTCCCTGTCCTGCTTTTCTCTTACCAATCCGTCTTCTGTCTCCGAGCTTATTTCAAAATCCAATTCTTCTTCTTGTCGACTTGACCCAGCTCCTACTTCTCTCTTGAAACGGTGTCATTCGGTCATTTCTGCACATATCTCTCATTTCATAAATGCTTCCCTTGTCACTGCTTCTTTTCCTCAGTCACTTAAAATCGCTGCAGTTACCCCAGTTCTCAAGAAACCCAATCTCTATCCTACCGTTTTGTCCAATTATCGTCCCATTTCAAACTTACCATTTATTGCTAAATTATTGGAGAGTACTGTAGTTTCCCAGCTTCAGTCATTCCTAGTGGCAAATAATTTCTTTGACCCATGTCAGTCCGGCTTCCGTCCACAACATAGTACTGAAACTGCCCTTGTAAAGATAGTGAACGATTTATTACTCTCTTGCGACACTGGCTCTCTGTCTGTACTTCTGCTAATTGATCTCAGCTCTGCCTTCGATACCATCTCTCATGATTTGCTTATCTCTCGTCTTTCGGCTGTGGGTATATCTGGTACTGCTCTTTCCTGGCTCTCTTCATACCTATGTGACAGACAGTTTTACATTTCTGCTCGGGATTTTAGATCCCCTACTGCCCCCCCGAAACAAGGCGTCCCCCAGGGTTCCGTTCTTGGGCCTTTGTTGTTTACTATTTATATTTTACCATTGGGTCAGATACTACAGCGTCATGGCTTTAGCTATCATTTTTATGCTGATGACATTCAAATTTACACGTCATGCAGGCCTTCCCTATCCACCCAAATTGACAAAATTTCTGTTTGCGTGCAGGATATAAAAACATGACTTAACTCTAATTTTCTGAAACGTAATATGGATAAAACTGAGATCATCATTATTGGTACCCCATCACTTACCACCAAAGTTCCCACTGACTTTACTTGCAATATCACTGGCACTCTAATTGCTCCATCTAGTATCGTTAGAAATCTCGGTGTTATGTTTGACTCCTCTCTTTCATTTCAGTCTCATATTAACTCTCTCTCTAAATCAGCATTCTTTCATTTATGTCGAATCTTCCAGCTCCGTCCAGAAACTCTCCTTCATGCTTTTGTTTCATCTCGTCTCGATTACTGTAATGCCCTTTTCATTGGCCTACCAGCTACCTCTATTGCTAAATTACAGTATATTCAAAACTCAGCTGCTCGTATTCTCACTCGCGCTAAGCGTTCGGCCCACATCACCCCTATTCTCGCTGATCTGCATTGGCTACGAGTGGCCTATCGTATTACGTTTAAAATTCTCCTGCTTACTTTTAAAGCTTTGCATGGTCTGGCTCCTTACTATCTTCGCAATCTGCTCCTTCCCTATTCTCCACCTCGTTCATTGCGGTCCTCAGATTCTCACCTTCTTGCCGTCCCTCGGTATCGCCTCTCTTCCATGGGGAGCAGATCATTCAGTGTTGTTGCCCCTAAATTATGGAACTCTCTTCCCAGATCACTCTGTCTTGCCAATAGCCTGTCTGAATTAAAATCGCTGCTCAAAACTCACTTGTTTTCAGAATGTTATCTTTCTTAAATTAACTTCTGTTTATTCTGTCTTATATTGTCTTATATATATATTACTCTCTGGATGTCTGATGTTCTCTTTACTTTCTGTATTATTGTTTGATGTTATCCTGACATTTCTGATGTTTATTGTAAATTGTCCATGAGCTCTGGAAAGGCGCTATATAAATAAAACTCATTATTATTATTATTAACTGATGGACTGGATTACTTGTGGATTATTGTGATGTTTTTATCAGCTGTTTGGACTCTCATTCTGACGGCACCCATTCACTGCTGAGCAAGTGATGCAATGCTACATTTCTCCAAATCTGAAGAAGGTTTTATCAATTTTATTTATAAAGACTTTAGGTTTTTGTTATAAACTTTCTCAGTGGAGCCACTTGCTATTTTCTGTTCTGTGGCACTTATCATAATAGTTTATTAACCTGTATAAAAGCTCTGCATGATCCAGTCTCATGAAAACATGTCCAAGTTGTATTTCATTCAGAAGAAAAGGAATTAAAAAAAAAAACATTTTGCATTTTAATCCCTTTAAATATCAAAAGCCAGTTCCATAATGACATCATCCTGCAGGAAGTGAAATCATTTTGGAGGGAAAACAGTACAAATATTAGTAAGCATTAGCGATGGATTGGATCTACTGTGGTGTTAGTTTGTGTACAATTTAATCAAATTACACAAATCAGTTAAGCTGCCATTCTCTCAATCTGTCTGAATTTTAGTGCTTAATTTCCTGTCCGTTTCCTTGTCACCCTGTAAATAACCAAGTTAGAATGAATTTGAAGATAAAGTGTCTGAGTTCAAAACACAAGCATATTAATTTTGATCAAGTTTCAGAGAGTTCATCAAGAGTTCAGCAGATTGTTTGGATGGGTGTGATCCTTGTATATTTTTCATTATCACTGCTATGTTTTGAAATATCAATTATATTGCTCCTGAGTTGTAATATCGTCTTTCATGAGTGCGACATTATCGTATCTGTTTTTGGCAGTGCAAGCATGAACTCAGCAGTTTCAGTCCGATGGGCTTGTCAGTATTTGTGTAGTGATCTGCAGATATGATTGTTTGAGCCGTTTGCTCTCAATGCAGCAGTAACTGAGTCATTTGTGTTGTCTGTAGAAGACATTTGTGTTTAGTTTGAAGTCTTGGTGTGTCATAGACATGAAAACCTCTCTTTAATTTTTAAAAATGGCTGATGTCACAATTAGCCACGTTGCATGGAAAGACAAAGAAAGTCATTGATATTTTGTTGTGTGTCTTCTGTAAGGGGCATCAGGAGGACAGACATTACAGATGAAGAAAATAACAATTTTCATCATATAAAATTGAATCTTTGACAAATATTTTTCGCTTGTTTGTTTACAAGTTAAAACAAAACATGTTAAAACATTTACAAGCATTTTTATTTGACATCTGTTTATTTAGAAAATGTTTTTATATAATTATATGTTAATTATACAATTATATTTATTATAATTTTATATTATTACATATTATTATACAATTATATTTGGAATTATTATTTAAAATCACTGAAGAAAATTAACCATGGTTTTATTATAATAAAAGTGTGGTAACCATGTTTTTTTTTCTTTCTCATATAACCACAGCTTTACTACAACTATCATGGTTAAACTATGGTTAGTGTAGCAAAACCATCGTTAATTTGTGGTTACCATGGTTTAACTATAGTAACCATGTTTTCTCTCTCTCTCTCTCTCTCTCTCTCTCTCTCTCTTGCTCTCTTCACCTTAAGAGGACACATTGAGATGCAGTTTTCACTGCTTTAGGATGAACAGGATAGTTTCCACACTCAGGAAAAAAAGGTACAAAAGCTGTCACTGGGGCGGTACCTTTTCAAAAGGTACACTTTTGTACCTTTTAGGTACTAATATGTACACTTTAGGTACTAATATGTACCTTTAAGGTACCAATATGGACTGTTTAGGTACAAAGGTGTGCCTTTTGAAAAGGTACCGCCCCAGTGACTGCTTTTGTACCTTTTTTTCTGAGAGTGCATGTACTCCTCTAGATCAACTTTGAATAAAGAAAAGAGAGGTTTAAAGCCAGATTTTAGTTTACGTATGTGTGTGTGTGTGTGTGTGCATGCAGTGGCCTGTAGGTGTCAGTATTGTTCTAGGCAGATTTCTCAATCTTTTGTTTACTCTTGTGATGTTGGGAATTCCAGCTGGGATCACTGACCATTAATACTTAAGGTTAGGGGTTTGTTCAAATCACTAAACACTCAGTAATTTGAAATATAATATAGTGATGTTGACTTGCAAGTTCTATACTAGTTCACACACTCAAATGCACGATGCAAAGTTGAGTTTTGTTACCTATGCATCGATTTTCATGTTTTTATTAGACTTGTGGCATCA